TTTTTTTAAGAGACGAGGTCTTACTCTGGTTGAGGGCAGTTTTGAACTCATGAGCTCAGGCAGTCCACCCACTTTGGCCTCCCAGAGTGCTAGGATTATAGGTGTGAGCCACCATGCCTGGCCTAGTTTTTCTGTTGTTTTATTTTTGTTTGTTTTTTTTTGAGATAGAGTTTCACTTTGTATCCCTTGGTAGAGTGCTATGGTGTCACAGCTCACAGCAGCCTCAAACACTTGGGCTTAAGCAATTCTCTTGCCTCAGCCTCCCAAGTATATGGGATGATAGGCGCCCACCACAATGCTTGGCTACTTTTAAAGATGAGGTCTTGCTCTGGCTCCGGCTGGTCTCAAACCTGTGAGCTTAGTCAATCCACTCACCTTAGCCTCCCAAGTGCTGGGATTATAGGCATGAGCCACCGCACCTGGCCCTAGTTTTTCTGTTTTTAGTAGAGATGGTCTCGCTTTTGCTGAGGTTGGTTTCTTTCTTTTTTTTTTTTCTTTAGACAGAGCCTCAAGCTGTCCCCTGGGTAGAGTGCTGTGGCATCATAGCTCATAGCAACCTCCCAACTCCTGGGCTCAAGTGAGTCTCCTGCCTCAGCCTCCCAAGTACCTGGGACCACAGGTGCCCACTATAACGCCTGGCTATGTTTTGGTTGCAGCCGTCATTGTTTGGCGGGTCCGGGCTAGATTTGAACCCGCCACATTAGGTGTTTGTGGCTGGCGCCTAGCCACTTGAGCCACAGGCGCTGAGCCAGTTTCTTTCTTAAAATATTTTATTATTTTGTTGTTGCAGTTTGGCTGGGGCCGGGTTTAAACCTGCCACCCTTGGTATATGGGTTGTCTTGATCACTTGATCGGCGCCCTACTCACTAACCCCCAGGTGCCACCCTCGCTGAGGTTGGTTTCAAATTCCTAAGCTCAAACAATCCACCTATCTTGGCCTCCCAGAGTGCTAGGATTACAGGCTTGAGTCACCATGCTATTGGCTATTTTTTTCATTGCAGTTGTTGTTTTAGGTGGCTTGGACTGGGTTCAAACCCAGCAGCCTCCATCTGGCTGGTGTCCTACTCACTGAGCTATGGGTGCTGCCCTAATTTTTATGCTTTTGTTATTTATTGATTTATTTTATAGAGACAGTCTCACTTTATCATCCTCGGTAGAGTGCTGTGGCATCACATAGCTCACAGCAACCTCCAACTCCTGGGCTTAGGCGATTCTCTGGCCGCAGCCTCCCAAGTAGCTGGGACTAGAGGTGCCTACCACAAAGCCTGGCTATTTTTTTGTTGTTGTTGCAGTTTTGGCCAGGGCTGGGTTTGAAACCGTCACCCTTGGTATATGGGGCCGGCATCCTACCCACTGAACCACAGGCACCACCCTGATTTTTCTGTTTCTTTTTTTTTTTCTTTTGAGACGGAGCCTCAAGCTATCCCCCTGGGTAGAGTTCCATGGCATCACGCTCACAGCAACCTCCAACTCCTGGGCTCAAGCGAGTCTCCTGCCTCAGCCTCCCAAGTAGCTGGGACTACAGGCAT